AGTTTTTAGCCATGGTCAGTTATACGTTGCTATGTCTAGAGTTACAAATCACAAAGGGTTGAAGATTTTGATTTGCGATAAGGATGACGGACAAGACAATTCAACGACAAATGTGTTTTCAACGAATTTTCCAAAATTTGTAGTAGTTGGAACATCGATTTAATTTTTTTATGACAATTGTAACGCATAAATGATACTTATTTCATATACTTTTATAACAACCTCAATAATCATTTTTAAGTCAAATGAAATATTAAATCTCAACGTTTATAAATTTATTTTTTTAGTACAATATCCGTGCATCGTACGGGTGACACACTAGTGTCTTTTTACACCCTCTCAATAGAGATTTTGGAGGAAAACAGTCGTCATGGACAAAATGTGCTAATTCATTGAAAAGCTGAAAATAGGAATGCACGAAATAGTTAAAAATATAAATATGATAATTAGGGAAGATTATGAGTTTTCTATACAATTTAAATATGGAAAAATTACACAAAAATAAGTGGTTTAAGTTTTCATTCCAATAATCAAGTGCCAACCCACCCCATCTCATTCCACACCTATCATGAACCAAAAACTTGAATCTGGCCTCTGTTAATGAGACCCACCGTCGTGGACCTACATCAATGGCGTCAGTGTCACCACCCATTCCACCACTAATCCAGTCATGGGTCTTCATCAATTGGACCTGAATTTGCTTACGTTGTGCTTTATGCATTTGTGCTGCATTTGTAATTTTGCCTAAGTGGTGTGTTGAAGGTGGTGGTGGATTTGTGGTGTGTTGAAGGTGGTGGTGGTGGTGATAGTGACGGTGGTTTGACCGTTGAAGGTGGTGCTGGTGGAGGGTTGGAGGTAGAGATGGTAGATTTGATGTAATGGTGATCGTGAATTTGAGGTGATGATGGTATTGGTAGAAGTTATGGATTTGAAGTGGTAACGATAGTCGGTGATGCCGGTGGAGTGAGGCGGGTTGGTGGGATAGAGAGTGATTGTGACAAATCAAATTGGGTAATTTGTACTCACTCCATTCAAATCGAAAGACATGTTTTAATTAATATAGTTGAAAATATAATATATATTTTTTACATTTTTTTCTAATATAATCCTATATTAAATAATGATTTAAATATAATTAGTCTATCTTTATAGGACGAATGGAGTAATAAATAATTTATGGCCTAATAAATGTGTGATTTGCAACTATAATGTGTAATTGTGACCACAAATTTTGTCTTTGTGACTGTGACATTGTGTGATTTTGTGACTATTATGTGATTGTAACAAAAATATTATATTATTGTGTGACCATGACCGAATTAATTAAATTATAGGTCACAAAAATTAGGGGTTATATGATGAGATCATTTGATTTTTAAAAAAGATTGGGCAATTTTTTTATTTTCTAAAATGCATATTGAAACTTTTGTAGTTACGTAATTTTTCCTTTTAAAAATAGTGCACTTCAAGATATAAATATGGTGTCAGTATATTTAGCATTTGAAGATTTATGACTATAAATAGTTATATTTATTATTTTGTTGTTTAATAGCTAATAGCTACCGTTTAATTAGTAATTATAAACTTGGATAAAGCGGGATGTACACTCCCAAAGTGACTCCCCTGATGTGGAGGGGCAGTGCAGTTCAAATTCAAAATTAATGGTGTAGATTAAGTCATTTGATAGAGTGTCGACCATGTCACCATGATATCAAAAATAATATACATGCAGCATGATTGTTAGGGATAATTGCAGCAAAAGTTCCAAACATTTTAAACACTGGCAGATTTTCCTTAAACTTTTGATTTGTTGCAGCCGTCACTCATAATATTTTCAAACGTTGTAGGTGAGGTCCTTTTGGATGGTTTTTGTAAAAAAAAAAAAAATGTCGCCAGTTGACCCAAAAAATTAATGTCTTACTATTTTTTACCAATTAAATTAGAGTAAAATGATAACTTTATAATATTACCATATAAAATATAATTCAAAAAAATTAATGTCCGACTATTTTTTACCAATTAAATTAGAGTAAAATAATAATTTTATAATATTACCATATAAAATATAATTCAAAAAAATTTAAAAATCAAAAAAGGAAAAGGAAAAACTTAGGCCCCGTTCTCTTTGCTGTTTTCGTGCCATTTTCTATTTTTAATTTTTTAAAATAGTGAAAACGTATTATCTTTTTCGTTTTCAAAAACGACTTTTTGAAAACAAAAAAAGAAATTGGCTTGAAAACGCAACACGTCAAAAAGATGTTTTGAGTGATTTCAGCCAAAGCTAGGGATGGCAAAAAAAACCGCCCCGCCCCGAACGGGGCGAAAAAAACTGCCCCGAGCGAGTTGGCGGGGCGGGGCGGGGCAGGGCAGGGCAAGGAGGGCCGCCCCGTCTCGGGTCGTGGGGCGGAGATGCCCCACCCCGAACTCGCCCCGTGAACCGTTTAAAAAAAAGTATCCATGTATTCTCTGGTAGAATACATGATGAACAAATATTTTTTGGAAGTAGAGTTATGGATTTATATTCTTAAATTTGATAAACAATTTTTTTTGGAAGTAGAGTTATATTTTTCCTTAACCGTGTAACTGGAAATTTTTTATAGCAAAAAAAAAAAATTTTATAAAAAAAATAAACGGGGCAGGGAAACGGTCCTACAACACGCCCCGCACCGCCCCGCCCCGCGCCGTCTTAGACAGGGCGGGGCACGGGGCGGGGCGAAGTGGGGGAGTGGCGGGACGGGGTGGGATAGGGGTGCCCCGCCCCGAACCCGCCCCGTTGCCATCCCTAGCCAAAGCCACTCTTTTTCCATAACTGTGCAGTGCCAGAAGAACCGACGTCCTCTTCCTCCACAATCGACCACCACCCGCCACTGAGACCACCAGACCCCACTACCATTCGAACCCCCACACCTTTGGTATTATATGTGGACGCCTAATTCCACCTTCAGCTACTGATCTGAAGAAAGATTCAATCCCAATGGACGCCTCAGATTTCTCGAGATTGGCTGAATCGATAGCTGAGTTCATCGAATCAAGGAGTAGGCTTTCTGTGGGGCCCGTTCATTGCCCACCCATTGCTTCCAAGAAACACATCACATTTATAACAGTTGCAATTTTGATTTGGACTCCATTTTTCCTGAAGAAATTGATCGATGGGAATACTGTTTTGCAAGATAAGAACATTTGGATGGCTGGGGCGATTTTTGTGTCAGGAGCGATGTTTAATATAATTAGAAAAATGCCTATGTTCTTGCTCGACAAGAATGATCTGTCGAAGCTGGCCTTCCAGCTGGCAGTAATGGCAATGTGGAAGTAAAGATTGAAGATGTTATCTTCACTTAGGTAAGAGGTTTATACCTGTTTGAATATGTAGAAGACTTCGTTCAAAGTATAGCTCATAAAGATATCCGAACTTGAGCATTTTACTTGAATGGATATTTAATTTCTTGAAACATTTTAATCTGCAGTACCAGATACTCTATTGTGGGGGTGTGCTATTGATTTTGCTATTGGTCTGTATCATTTACTAAATTATGGATGCTGAAGATTTTGCATTCAAGTTGTCAACACCTCACCTGTGGACTTTATGGTTCTTTAAATAGGCAACCACCTAAGCAAAACGTATTCTTTGGCAGATTTTACGTGCTCCATGAGGACAATTAACGTATCAAGAAGTGAGGAACGATGATATTTTGTGTCTGTATTGCAATGGTTCATTCTTTGTCCTGGTGTCTCAGATAGTACGGTTAGTGAGGGACAAGGGGCAGTTGGAATCTTAGCTAATATTTAGGGACATCAAATATAATTAGGAGAAGACTGGTTATTGTTTTTGTTTGGACAAGGGATCAATAGCTTGGAAGTTGATATTTTTCAGGATGAGTTATACTGAGAATGCGAAGGGCACTGATGAGACCATGGTATTTGGCAAATTGCACTTTTGTCCTGCAATATTTTTTTGTGTCAGATAGGATAGTAATTTGGATATTAATCTTCTCTGTATATCCAGATCATAAATTTAAATTATCATATGCTTGTTTCATTGTCAATTGCACTCCACTGTGGAAAATGGAGAGGTTTTGACAATGAACTGAGAGTTTTGGAAATATATTCTAGCGGTGAAAGGAGGATGGTTCTCTGGGAAGAGAGAGAACGTTTAGTAAAATATAATTACATAGTTGAGTTTACTAGTAATGATAATATTATAGTGGCCCAACTAAGTTGTCACTTTTTTATCCATTACTCTGTTGTTGAGGTTGCTGTCTACTTACATTTGGTGATCCCCCAACTTTAAGGATCCAAGTACAAAAAAAATTAAGCAGCTGAAGCCCTCTGAATTGTACAAGTAGTGGTGTGATAGAATTTTTTGTAATTCCAAAATAGATATTGGATATCTCACATTGGTGGTGACTAGTATTGCAAAGATTTTGAGGATTGTGTGGTATAGTGATGTAGAAGTGTGTCTTCTACCTGCATTGCTTCTCCTCTTTCTTTGCTTCTCTTAATTGAAGTAGCATACAAGCAAGGGTAGTATCATGATAATTGGCTTCTTTATTGAATAATGTATCAGCCTGATACGAAGAGAATGATGATTTACAGGGTGCAGTGGATTCTCCTGAGAAAAAAGTAAGGAAAACGAGGATATCTCCACTTAACAAGAAAAGTAGTTCAGTGATGGGAAGAATGCCCATAATGGAGGAAGGTGGGTCTCCAACTTCAGTCGGTATAGAAGAGAGTAACCAAGTGGTGGTTACAAGAGCCAGACCACATAGGGCTAACAGCAGTTGGGATTGGATTAATGCATTGCAGAGTTGCAATAGCAAATTCAGTATTAGAATCCTTACCATCGTTGATTCACATTCTCGCTTCGGATGGTAAAACATAAAATTTACATATATTTAATTAGAGATCATATGATGCACTTATATCACATCACGTGTTAGAGAAAATGGATTATTATTATTATTATACCATCAACTAGGCATATACAACCGACTTATCTATAATCAATGAGTAATGTTATTTATTATCATTGATGATAGTCATCGTGTTTAGACGATCAAAATTGTATTTGGCAAGAATTGTGAGAACTAACATGAACTCGATAAAATTGATTTCAAAATATTTATTATCATGTCAACATGAGATTAGTGTCTTCTCTACAAATCAAAAAAATGGAAGATTACTCGCTCTTGTTTCGAATTCAGAGATCTCGAGAAAAATCTAATTACTCCTCTTTTTTGTAATTTGATTAGGTTTGGTTGTGACTTGATGCTAGTTAATTCTTGTCACAAGTTACATACCAGGAAAAAATACAAGAACTTGTCAAATTTAATTTAGGATGTGCTTTTTATATTTGGAAAAAAATATTTCAAGATTCACCAATTTCAAAATTTATATACATTAAACTATTAAAATTTATTGAATAATCAAATTTCTTGAATTAAATATTATAAAAAAATATTCTCAAAATTTCAAAGTAAACGCGTCTTCCATTTTTGTATTTTGAGAAATTATTTTTCAAAATGACAAAATGAACGTATTTTCTCAAAATAGACACTCAAAACACAAAATGAATTCAAAACTCAAAACTGAAACGGCCTTGAACTTTCTTCCCCTTCTTCACCAACCCAACCCAACCCTACTCGCCCCCACGCCAGACTCCACAACAAACCAGGTTACCCATCTTTATCTCTGCCAACGGCGGAATGCTGGAGATGGTGAGTAAGATGTATCATAAAGGTTTCGCCTTTGAATCCTTTGTTTGCAGAGAAATTTTTAGTGGCTTCAATGAACCATTTTTTTCCATACAAAATGATCATCGGTCGTTGCCTAATGACACAGATCAGTGTCAAATTTTCTTCTTTGAACAGTTAAAGAAATTGAGGTCAATGAGTGTAATTCAGTTTCTTAGGCAGAATCCAAATTCTTTGTTTGGGAAATTCTTGAAAGCAAAGTACCTTCATTTAATACATCCCAAAATGGAATTTTCATTTGCTGGGAATTTGAATCAAAGGAAAATGGTTAATTCCGATGAGTTCCCATAAACTGAATTCTTCAAAGCCCCTGCAGAGATGGGAAGGAGAGTTTGGCATTCTCACTTGATAACGGTAAACCCACCTACAAATACATAAGAATTCCATCATATTTTACTCACCATCTCCAACATTCGGCCGTGGACAGAGATAAAGATGGGTTTCCTGGTTTATTGTGGAGGCTGGGGTGAGGGCGAGGGGTAGGGTTGGGGAAGAAAGTTTAAGTTTTTCCTTTTTCTTTTTTGATTTTTTTTAATTGTAATATTATAAAGGTACTATTTTACCCTCATTTAATTGGTCAAAAATGGTCAGACTTTAATTTTTTGGGTCAACTGACGGCATTTTTTACGGAAACCATTCAAAATGGCCTCACCTACAACATTTGAAAAGGTTAGGGGTGACGACTGCAGCAAATCAAAAGTTTGGAAAAAATCTGCTAGTGTTTCAAAGATTTGAAACTTTTACTGCAATTATCTCTGATTATTATTAACTTATGTTAACGCTTTTTTTCCATTTGCCTGGCTGCAGGCAAATGTGAAATGTAACCTCAAGGAGAAAGCACGTAGACCAACCTAATATTACGTGTTTAATTTTTTTTAATAATTGGCAGTTTTGGCACGTGACTATGTGGCTATATTAAGCAATGTTTAAAAAATTTAAAATTATATTTTTTATATTATTCAGTTCTATTTAATACAACAATATAATATTTACAGTTAGACTAATTTTAATATCGAACGAGTGGGGAATGTTGGGGCGAATCAGAAAAGTTTGGGCAGATTCGGATCTAAGCGTTGGCTAGGTAAGTGTCAAGTAGTAAGAGGAGTAGTTATGAACACTGTAGACCATCCCTTTTTTCCTTCACTAGGATTTTTCCCACTAAATTTTTCCTATTAAGGTTANCTGTATCTTCCAAAAGGCAAAAAGATCTCTGATAGAAATACCGCAAATAGAGCCATTGCGACACCCATCAAAGGAGTCTTTCCTCACCATGGAGCTACTTTACCATATTCCGATTTCAATGGTTGCCTTTCCCCTTTTTATTTTATCGATAGGGGCCTTGAGAGACTCTGAAAATAAAGGACAGGCGATCGCTTATCTTGTGTTAATATTTTGAAGATTTTCAATAGAAAAGATAGGGCCAAAATAAATACTATGTGGTCCAACTCAAATTTTTAAGTTGAAAATTCAAGGCCTAGTAATCATGGTGTTCCATGACCATCCCCAAATTCCAACCAAGTCTTTTAATCCTTAAAAAATGAAAGTATACCCCACCCCTACCGCTACCCCTACCCCCATCCCCATCCCCACCCCCTTTTCCCAAGTGCATGATAGAAAAGTTGGGGCAAAAGGGTGGCTTAAAGGAGGATTGAATTACATGGTATGGCTACAAGGTAGGATAAAATGAGAACAAAAAAGAACAAGTTTATGTTCTTTATGATGAGATTATATATCTTGGATTATAGAATCAATCTTTCATAATCTTTTTAACACTTTCTAAAACAACTAATGACATTTGCTTTTTGTTAATAGGGATGGCCTAAAAAGTGTCGTCAAAACTAAGAATTCTTATGTCCTTCAACGACGTACATAGAAGATATGTTTGATACATAATATAGATGCAATCGAATAGTTTATAAAACCAAAAAAAATTAAATTTATGCTTATTTAATAAGGTCCTATTTAAGTCTCATTTTTTTGGGAAAATAAGTTTTGGATTAATTGTTTTTTTTTTTTTTTGAAATGTTTGGTTAAAAAATAGAAAAAAATTAGCTTTACTGATAATAAAATAATTTTATGGAAGAATGTGTCGTTAATAATAAATTTTGAAAAAAAAAAAAAGAAAGAGTTTTGAGGAAAATAGAGCTCAAACATATGCCAAGGTAAAAAAAGGAAAGGAAACAAAAAAAAGGTGAAGGAACATTATGATTTTCGAATTTTTACCGACTTGATCGGCGCTATGCTTGTAGAGCATCATATCATAAGAAAAACATTATGGTTTAGGAAGATTTTCAACAATATTACATTGATTCTTTTTTTCCTTTTTTGGTCCTATAAGGGTACCAAAAAGGGTTAAGTAAAAGTCAAAAGTGAAGTTATTAGTGAAACTAGTCTCCATTCAGTCTCTTTTGCTCTACTCTAGGTACAAAGACTTTTTTGTGTTACTTTTTAAATTAATTAATTTAGGGTTTCACGCATATCTTATTGGTTTATTAATCCGAAAAGTAGAGATGAATAGGGGTACATATTTTTTCATAGAATTATCGAATCATATTGAAACTGACTTTTCTACGTAATCAAATCAAATCAAAATAGTTAATTCCGATTCAATTTCGATTCGTCGCTACACAGAAATAATTTTTCCCTATGTAAGATTCTCATACACTAATTTTCAGACTCGTAATAGTTTGATAATAACTATGTCTAAACACTAAACAACTCCACAATTTACTCAATTATTAAACACACACACTATACATAATCAATGTGAAGATGACGACAATTATGACGATTACCACAATGTTCGATGGATTTAATGATGATTGTAGAATAGAAACTGTTAATAGATTAGGCAATTTGGGTGAATGGATAAAGAGAGAGTCCAATCAATGTCAACTTTATTACAAGGCTCATTATTTAAGTGCTAGACTCCAATAAATATAGAACCTTTTGCCTCACCATTGACTTGAACTACCTTAATCACGGACAAAGCAGGGGCATGTAATGTTTTCCTTACTAAAAATGCCCAATAAAAAGTCAAAACATTTTATAATCGCGTTTTGTCCAAAAGACATTTTATACGCTCGACTGAGTTGGACAAATTTCGGCAACTTAAGTTTGAAAATAGTAATTTAACGTGTAAGGACTTTTGTTAAAATGATGAGAAATATTAAGAATCGATTTGGTATAAGAGTTCGAAAATCGATTTGGTATAAGAGTTCGAAAATTAGGATTGAATTCATCTCAAGAAAGTTTGAAAATAAATGAGAATTTCAAAATTGATGTATTATTTTCTTTTCCTTCAAAAAGTAAAACCAGGCACGCCTCCATTAAAACATCGATGTGATAAATTAGGTGAAATAATAAAATATGACGATTCAATCAACTTCTCTCTCATAAAAATTGATCCGTTATATCTCATTGTTTCAACTAAATTGTCACGTTATCATAATGATAAATAGCGTTAGTTTGAATATTTTGTATGCACCTGCATCAAAACTTCACCACTGGACAGAAGGGATAAAAACAATCTTTCTCTAACCCTCTCTCTCTATAATATAAAATGTATACCCATATGTATGAACTAACTTCAGTTTTTGCTTATATGAATTTATCTTCTCTCTCATGCAAATAGGCGTTTTCTGTTCATTCTTTGCTCCCTTTCCGAACAAATCATGGACGATACAGAAGATTCCAATACAAACAAAAAATGCACAAGGAGTTTTAGAAGTAATGGAAATACTCAAAACTATCGGTTTCAAAACCAATTTTTGCATCACTCCAATAGGATTAATGGCTTTGGTCATGGATTCAGTTACCAAAATAAGTACCCTGCTCTACTTCCTCTGCCTCCAAGCATTCCTCTGCAAATGGCTGTGGCTCCAACTTTCCCTCAATACCACAACTATGGATCAAAAACCCATTTGCAGAAACCCTTGTGGAAACAGAATAATCATCCTCTTCCAACCTCTTCTGAGTCCCAGGTCCAAGTTTTTTCAGTTGCACAAGGTAAATAGTTAAAAACCCTGTTCTTTTCAATTTTCAATACAGGTTTTTTGGGCTTAGTTTCTGTATTTTGGGACTGCCTTAGTTTCTGTATTTTGGGACTGCATGTTATGTTAATTTTTGTTTTGGAAGCTACCAAAAGGGTTAGCATAGAGGACATGAAATGGATGTCTAAATGCTGATAATGGAAAGCTTTTCACTATTCTATAGCAAAATGAAATCTTGGACTTTGGACTTCTGTTATCTTTCCACATGAAATAATTCAAATTTTAATTTTTTTAATACAATGTTTTTGTTTTTGAAAATTCTCTGTGTTCTTATGTTGTCTTCGAGCACCCCAATAGTGAATCACTGAGTTGTGGTAAATTTTAGAGAATTTTATTTTCAAGAGCTATATTTTTAGTATAAGTAACGTGTTGAAGTCTAAAATTTTCGTGTTTTAGGTTTAAGAATTTGGTGGAATGGAATATATTGTGGTGGAGATGGGATTAAAATTTGATTATTGCGATTTAATTTCTTGTTCTAAATTCATTAACAAAACAGCTCGGACGGATTTCCATCCGCAAAGTTGGCTGCCCTCCGATGAGAATGATAAGAGGGTTATGGATGCCAAGCCAAAACCATTGACAGTGGCAAGAAGACCGGACTCCGGTGGTATAGAAGGGAAAGTTATTACTCTCCTTGCTAATCATTTCTTAGTCCAATTCGACCCTTCACAGCGAATCTTTCATTACGATGTTGATATAGCCCCACATCCGTCGAAGGAAATTTCAAGAATTATCAAGAAAAAACTTGTTGAGGACAATTCAGCTTTGCTATCTGGTGCTCTTCCAGTTTATGATGGCCGAAGAACCATATATAGTCCGATAGAGTTCCAAGATGATAGGCTTGAATTATATATTAGTCTCCCAATTTCTAGTGGAAAACCATTAGAAGCAATAAAATCTGAAGAAAAAAGTCACCAACTTAAGCTTTTTCGGATCAACATCAAACTTGTTTCGAAATTTGATGGGAAGGAACTAAGCAACTACTTGCGTAAAGGAGGAGAAGATTGCAGTCCTCTTCCTCAAGAGTATATCCATGCACTGGATGTGGTCTTACGGGAGAATCCAACAGAAAAGTGTGTAGCAGCCGGAAGATCATTTTACTCGAATTCAATGGGAGGGGGAAAAGAAATTGGAGGAGGAGCTATTGCACTAAGAGGCTTCTTTCAGAGCTTAAGACCAACAAAACAAGGGCTTGCTCTCAATGTGGACTTCTCGGTGACTGCTTTTCACGAAAGTATTGGAGTGATCCCTTATTTGCAAAAGCGTCTCAATTTTATGCATAATCTTTGTCAGAAGAAAGCGAGAGGTTTGACGAGCGAAGAGAAGAAAGAAGTGGAGAAAGCACTGAAAAACATCAGGATCTTTGTTTGTCATAGAGAAACTGTTCAGAGATATCGGGTTTGTAGCTTAACCGAGGAAAATACCGAGAATCTCTGGTTTCCAGATAGAGATGGAAAAAGTTTAAAACTGGTTGACTATTTCAAGAATCATTATAACTATGATATACAGTATAGAAACTTGCCATGTTTGCAGATTAGTAGGAGGAAGCCCTGCTATTTGCCTATGGAGCTTTGTGTAATTTGTGAAGGGCAGAAGTATCTCGGGAAGCTCTCAGATGATCAGACGGCTAAAATACTCAAAATGGGATGCCAAAAGCCGAGAGTACGCAAGGCAATTATTGGTCAAGTTATGGAAGGACCAGTCGGGCCGACCAGGTAATCATAATATTTACACGATTCTTGCTACCTTTCATTGTTGCTTGTTTTTCCTTCAAAAACCTTGTGAGTGATTATTTGAACAGTGGCAATCAGGGAAGAGGATTCAAGCTCCAAGTTTCAAGAGAGATGACAAGATTGACAGGGAGAATTCTTCAGCCCCCCAAGCTTAAGCTCGGTAATAGTGGTCATATAAGAAATCTGACTCCTTCCCGTCATGATCGCCAGTGGAACCTTCTAGATAGCCATGTCTTTGAAGGAACTCGAGTAGCAAGATGGGCGTTAATAAGTTTTGGTGGTACTTCAGATCAGAAATCCGACATACCAAAATTTATAAACCAACTGTCTCTAAGGTGCGAACAATTGGGCATTTTTCTCCACAAAAACCCTGTTGTTAACCTCCAGTTTGAGCCAATGCACGTGCTTGGAAATGTAAAACTTTTGGAATCGAAACTCAGGAAAATTCATAAGGCTGCTTACAACAATCTTCAACTGCTTATTTGTGTGATGGAGAGAAAACATAAAGGATATGCAGACTTGAAACGAATTGCTGAGACTAATATTGGGATCATAAGTCAGTGCTGTTTGTACCCAAATCTTGGCAAGTCAAGTTCACAGTTTTTGGCAAATTTGGCTCTCAAGATCAATGCCAAAGTTGGTGGATGCACTGTTGCATTGTATAATTCACTACCTTCTCAACTCCCAAGGCTCTTCAGGCAGGATGATCCGGTGATCTTTATGGGTGCTGATGTAACACATCCTCATCCTTTAGATGATTCTAGTCCCTCTGTCACTGCTGTGGTAGGTAGCGTGAATTGGCCAGCTGCAAACAAGTATGTCTCGAGAATGAGATCCCAAACACACCGAGAAGAGATCATTCAAGATCTTGGAGCAATGGTTGGGGAAATTCTTGATGACTTCTACGAGGAACTGTCTCAACTCCCAAAGAGAATCATCTTTTTCCGAGATGGAGTTAGTGAAACACAGTTCTACAAAGTACTTCAGGAGGAACTGCAAGAAATTCATCGAGCGTGTTCAAGATTTCCAGGTTACAAACCTCCTATTACTTTTGCAGTAGTTCAGAAAAGGCATCACACAAGGTTGTTTCCAAATGAACCAGAACCAACTTCACCCTGGAACGATGAAAATATTCCTCCGGGAACTGTTGTAGATACGGTGATCACTCATCCAAGAGAGTTCGACTTCTACCTATGTAGCCATTGGGGTGTAAAAGGAACCAGCAGGCCTATCCACTATCATGTTTTGTGGGATGAAAACCATTTCACTTCTGATGAACTCCAAAAGTTGGTATACAATCTTTGTTACACATTTGTGAGATGCACCAAGCCTATTTCATTGGTGCCTCCAGCTTATTATGCTCATCTTGCAGCATATAGAGGCAGATTATACCTCGACCGTTCAGATTCAAGTGTCCTCAGAAGTTCTACAATATCTCGTCTTCCCCCTCAGAAGGCAATGCCCCTCCCTAAACTTACTGAGAACATTAGGAAGCTAATGTTTTACTGCTGATAATGTAGCATTTGCATATTCAAATATTTCAGTTCTATAATCTAACTATATATTGAATTTAAACTATTGCCAACCATGTGTTATGGAAAGCAAGATTGGTGTTTGATAACTAGTTTCGTAACATCGTTTCAAAGGCTTATCCATGATCAATTATCATCAAGACTTCTGAATTTTATTCCGTATGGACATGTTCAGCATACAGTATTGAATATGATTGAAATCCCGAATAAAAGAGATTTGAGCTTATTTTTCTTTTTTAATGATGCTTTATATATTTGCTATGTAAACGTTAACTACTTAATAATATTATATCGAACCAACTTAGTGCAGAAAATTGTGAATGAAACGAGGTGCTGGGACTGGGAGATGTAACTGAAACCTACCATTCTTTAGTTGACATTAATGGAGTTTTGGTCATAAAAATGAATTAGATTATCATAAGTGGAAAAGCCATTGGCAAAAATAAGTGATATCAGAGTAAATTGTTACGTAAAGGAATTAAAACAGGAGAGAGAGATCAGAAATGCACAGGGTGTGGGGATTTGTACTGTTATAAGCATGAATGGTCACATTCAGAATTGAAGAATAAGCAGAAAGCAGAATCTAGGGGTAATATTGGGATATACAGAAAAATAAGTCTGACAAAAAGCTGTGTGTATATATCAAATTACTATACTATGATATCTTGTCAGTATATGGTAATATAGACTGTTCATGTAAAAGATGAAATAATTCACAGAATACGAACGTCACTATAAGTCACATGACATTTTTTTTTATTTTCTCAATGATATTCTTGTTCTAGTTTTCACTTTTTGACATTCATTTTTTTCTCATTCTCTTTCTCATTCTCTTTCTTTTTTCATTTTAACCACACATTTTATTACTAAAATAATATTACACATAGCCTCCGGGGCACATCCAAGTTGGCAAAGGACAGGCATTGCTGGGCTTGCAACCTCAGGGTGGGGAGTTCGATTCCTGGATGAAGCAGCTGAGTGTTGTAATACTCAATTTGGGTGGAGCAGCTTGATAATGTAATATCTATGGAGGAAGACTCCCTTGAGGCCGGAGCATAAAGGGTGCACAGACTNCAGGAGGATAAAGGGTGCACAGACCCTGGTCAACTTGGGCATATCCCGCGGGTAACATCCGCCCATCACTGAGGGGCCGGGGATGGGTGGTCCAGGGCATAGTCTGGTGTAAGTTGGGATACCTGAATATCAAAAAAAAAATAAAAAAAATATTACACATAAACCAAAAAATTCTCCTTACTTTTTAACCACATATTTTTCCATCAATCATTATTCCAAATCAAATTCTTCTCCAAAATGGATGTCAAACACAAGCAATGCTATTAGTCGACCAGGAATATGTACGTACTTAATATACCCTCACTACGTTCGTTCATTTAGAAACATCAATCTTATAATTTATTTTAATTTGAGTTTTAAACATATTTATTCGTCTGAAATCAATAGAATTTACTATTGTAACCATTTGTAACAATATAATTGTTACACGTTTACGAAGATAGGAGCTCATTGGCTTATAATCACTGGAGGACTCTCAAGCACTAGGTTGACATTGTTAAAACGTCTATTTTTATTTGATGTGGAGGAAGATAGAATCTTATCTAAAAGGTTAATGTTCAAAAAAATTTCCTAGCTCTTACGAGATATTGGGATCCAATGTGGGCACATATCAATTTTAGTATTGAATTCTATTTATCCTTGTTTGATTATGATTTTTTGAAAAGTGATTTTGTTGAAAAAAGTGTAGTTAAAAAGTAAGAAAAAGTTAAAAGTTCATATATAAAATTATTTTATTGAGATGATTTACGATTGAAAATAAATTTGAGAAAATGTGATTTTGAAAAATCAAAATCAAACAAGGATCCAATAGAATTGTAACATTTACTACAATAGATGACCCATACAAGTTTGGAAGGTTAACTTTGAGGTAGTAATCTGAGGTCACCTTGACCTAGCTGAGAATATGGAATGTTGAGAAAGTTGATTTGGAAAAGACAAAGATTGTTCTCCAACCCATTATGAGCATAAGATCAATCCTGTCGAAATCGAATTATGACTTTTACCGTTGTTTCTGAACAGTCACTCAATTAAATTTTTTTTGAATAAATCATCGTTGTACTTTCAAATTTATTTTTCTCATATTTAGTGAACTTTAAAATTTATACGAATAATCGCTATAGTTTCAAATTGTTTGCCAATGGTCACGATACTTTTCAAGTTTTTCATATGTCACTTCAAATCGTTTAAAACTTAACAATTACATTTGTCGCATCATCAAAATCATTAAATCTCAAATCGAAAAATTATTACCATTGAAAAACAACGTTGAAAGTATCATCACTTCACAAAAATCACTTAATTAATTAATTAAGTAGGAGGGTCTACAAGAAAAGGTGATAGCAATATGATGTACGCCAGCTGCAGCAGCTGGGCTACAGGATATATCCCAGTAGCTGTGGTGGGGGAGGTTGCTGCATGGTGTCGCCAGTGGAAGTGGCCAAAACAGAGAAAAGCCAGCACAGATGCACTGTGGAGAGAGAAAGTTAGTAAAGAGAAAATGACAGAAAAAAAGCCAAAAAAAAAGATGGGACTTGAAGTAAAGCCACTGAGTTGTAACTTTACGACTTCCTCTTTTGTCTCTTCCACTATCATTTTTCTTTCTCGTTTGTCTATTGTCGATACAAACTGCATAATAGTAATTTTCATTGCTTATTTTCTTATGCAAAAAGTACTTATACACAGTGCACAGCCATGAGAACAGTCCCCAGAGACTAAAAGGGCTGGTAGAGGGACAGAGTATTCTGCGCTTGTCTTTCATCTAAAAGTAACTTTTAACCCAGAAAATCTAGATTAAATCATAGTTGTTATACTCAACTCAATCGTCGACTCGTACAAACTATCAATTTACAAAGTCATTGATTCAGATAAGGAAACACCATTGAACTTTAAATCTATTTAAAAAATACTTTTAGAAAAAGGAATTATTTATATACTTTTATTTTATGTTCATTTCTTGCTAATGTCATATGAAAAATTTAGTTCACTACACCTATGCAACTTCAGGTATAAAATTTTTAAGTCCAGGTCCTAAACTCCATCAAGTTGAGTGACATAAAATTTTCTTTGGGGCACTTTGTTGCAACGTGTTCAATCTAATTCTATTACAAAAAACATATGTTAAAATCTGTTGACCCCAAAAAATGAACTCAACACATACCGAGTCCACCCTTGCCACGTCAAGTAATGATCCGACACGTTTTTACCGGAACAAGAGCGGTAGTATAGTTGGGAAGAACGCGGGAGGTGTTTTCCGACAAGAGACTGAACTGTTCAAACTCTGGTGGTTTTATTTAAACGGCCCTAGCGCTATCAACAAGAGCTCAATCGATTTCCCTAAAATGAATATCTGTTTTGTAATGGAATATGTGGAAAGATAGATAAAAGAGAATGTCTTGTAATGTGTTGTGATTTTAATACGAGTTGTATTATTCAAGATCAAGCCAAGCAAAGTGCATAAATGTGTCCTTTTTTCATTCTTCGTCCACCTCTTCTATACAATGAGGGGTTTATTTATACTAATCTAACTGACGTAGTGACCATTAGACGACATCCCCTAGATTGAAACCTCACATCAATGTCCAATCTTTACAATTATTGTTTTGCAGAAGATCTGCTGCTTTACTTTGTAGATTGACTTATTGACACACATTAATGCTACAGACACTCTATGGCAGATGTCACGTCAATCAGTTCTGAGAGATCTTCGAATCTGCTATGAGGAAACGTCTACGTTAAGCTTTAGTCCTTCGGTCTTCAAGGGCTTCTGCCTTTGGGCGGAGGAGCCTCAGACCCAAAGGGCCTCTGCTTTCGCATGAAGGAGCTTTGGACCTATGAGGCTCTGCTTTCACATGAAGGAGCTTCGGACCTAGGAGCCTCCGCTGACCTTGCCTGTGTTGGCTCCCCCATTGACTCTTTAACTGGCTTTCTATCCACCTGGCTAAAGCGAATACGTGGCTGTCCACGCGGACTGCTGACCTGAAGCTTCCAATTCTGGGGGGTAACAATAGTCCCCCAAGTCTATGCATGGTTATTCATGTAATGCATGGACTTTCGTGTTTTCCAGCAAGGGAGTTGTAAATTTTCGTTGGCATTCCTATCAGTATTTTTCGAGGTGGATTGCCCGAGGGTGGAGGTATCAGTCTTTTTAGGGATGCTTAGAATAGGTAACGTATGTTGAGGTTCGTAGGCTCAATTCCGAAGTCGGATTGTTGGTCGTGATCCCTTCTTCGATTCAAAGTAACATTGTTCGTTTCGAAGGTTGGTATAATAACATTGGAGGATTGTCACTGATTAGCTATCATGATATGTTTCCAAGAATTCTGGGAGACTCTAGGCGCCCTCAATAATTCGATGCCGTATCCGACTTCCAAGGGAACGTAATTATCCTGGTACAACTTCTCATACACGCTAGAGCCGCCGCATTTAATGTAAAATGATGGTTTGGTGCCCACGTTCTTTCTACCAACCCCAGGCGTGCTTTGGGCGTGTGCGATCTACGCTCGGATATGGACCTTTGAATGTGGAGCGTTAGACACTATGAATGGCTCAAATTAGAACCTTGGAATGAATGGCTAGATGCCAGAGATAGAGATCCAACGGCTAGGGTTGGGTATGTCCGTCTATAAAAGGAGATTGCCCCTCAGAAAAGTCCTTTTCCCTTTATCTTTACGTGAATCTCTCACGAGCTTTTCTCAATATATTCATCGAGATTTCTTTCCTTCTTCGTCAAGATTCTTCTGTAAGTGTTGTGATCTTTTGCTGTATTTTACCAAGAATTTTATTTAAGTCCCTGGATCCATGGTGTCTTCTTCTTCTTCTTTTGATGAGAGTGTAGGCATTGATAGGCTGGCTGTTGGGTTAGGGAGTGAGTTGGCAACCGCTGCCGAACCTATCAGGGCCATTGAG